CTGAGGCGGGGAGCGGCGCCTGATGAGGGGAGCGGGGAGTGTGAGGGAAGTCGGGCCTGAGATGAGCTGGGCCCGAGGTGACCCGTGCCGAGCCCGGCCCTGCTGCTGCAGGCCGAGAGGAGGCCTGGGCCTGCAGTAGGGCCTGTGGGAGGAGGTAAAGGCCTGGGCTTGGCCTGGATGAGGGGGTTGAGGGGAAGGAGGACGGTCCAGGCTGACCCAGGAGTGAGCTGGGGCGTCTCGGGTTTGTGCAGGCAGAGAGCTGCGTCGGGATTCCCCAGAGGGGTTCTGGATGCATATGTGGAAAGGAGACCTTTTTGCCTGTGGAGGAGGAGCCTGGGACCAGGGGATCAGCCAGGCTTGAGTTGGGCTGTGTGAGGGAGAATGGGATTAGTTGAGGTGGTGGGAGAAGGAGAATTGCACTGGGCAGGGCAGGGGTGTGGGTCCCCTGAGCCTGGTGGACTAATAGTCTGGAGTAAAAACTTGCTGGGGACTCCTGGCCTGCATCTCCCTGCTAAGGCTCACTTTCCTGCTTGTGCATCTCCTCCTCGAGCCTCTGCTTCTCTGGGTACTGTTCTCTCTAGGCATCGTGACTTGTGTCCCCTCCCCATAATCCCTAATCCCTCTGACCCCTGTTTCCCCTGCTCTGCAGTGACCGTGGCAGATTATGCCAACTCAGACCCAGCTGTTGTGAAGTCTGGACGGGTGAAGAAAGCTGTGGCCAACGCAGTGCAGCAGGAAGGTGAGTCTGCCCTCGGGCCTCAGCCTCCCCCACACTGCATTCACGTTTTGCTGGCCTCTGCACGACATGGGAAACTCCTGTTCCTTAAACTGAGAAAATGTGTGTCCTTTAGTGCTGAAAATGAGCCTGTGCTACTCTGTAGACAATCACGTGTTAAGGACTTAGGAGGTTTTGCAGAAAGCCTGCTGCAAGAATTGCTGAGTCTTAGTGTCTGAGATGGAGAGGCTTGGGTGTCATCTCCTGCTTGAAGCAGAAAATAACGTGATAAAAGTCTTTATTACTTTATTACCACATATAAAACCGTAGATAACCTTATTAGCAGGTAAAGTTCTTTGCAGGGGGGATAAGATTGTGATAGTTCTGTCAAACATGTTGCAAGGAGGTCTTGGGAGCGTGTTGCTGTTTTTTTGGTGAACTCTGTAAGCAAGGAGTTTTCCTGGAAAGGTGGTGCAGTATTTTGTTATCTACTTCCTCCTCATCTGGAAGCTTTCTGAACTAACACACCCCACTTGCTTGAGAAATGGTGATGTTTAGGCCTTTTAAATGTAGCTGGTCACTCATGTTGGAGGTGGATGTTGTTGTATTGACACTGATGACTGAACTCTTCATAAAGGAAAACTCGTGGTTTGCTGCTGAAATCTTGCATTGCTTGAGACAGTATGCACTTGGCATGAGTGCCTGTCAGGGGCACTGGTGCTCGTGAACCTCCTCTTCAGCTGCTACTTCTCAAGCTTTTGAGATCAGGGCACCTCCCTCCTTTGGGACTTCCTCCTCCCATTCGGATCTTGTTCACCCATCTGTGTTCTGTCTCCTTGAGGCAAAGTCCAGCACTTCAGCATCATGCTGGCAAACCGCTGGTGTTCTGTGTTCCCTGCCCCAGCATCACCTGATTCATGCAGTTTATCACCTTTCCTGCTGTGTTTCTGGCTCACCTCCACCTCATCCTGGTGACTCCAGGTCACAGCAGTTCCCTGCCCACCCCTTTCCCAGATCTTTGCAGTGCAGTTTCGTGGGTTTCCCTTCTGGATTCAGGGATCTCTCCTCCCCTGCCCTAGGGCTGTGCGTCAGCCTTATCTGGCCCAGCTGTGACCATGCTGCAGCCTTATCTGGCCCAGCCTTATCTGTGCATCGTGGGGTGCCATTCTTGGGGCCAGGAGCTCCCCCTTTGGTCCCTTGCTGCCCTCCAGAAGCTTGGTTCAGAGTGAAGCCCGTGCTGGGTGGGACTGCAGCGGGCAGGGCCCTTCCCACAGCGAGCATTCTGTGGGAGCTTCACCAGCAGGGGAGCCATGGCCAGGAGGAATTTTTCTGGGCTTTTTTCCTCCCCATTCTAATGCCCAAGATGGGAGGATTACAACAGGGAGGTGAAGAGAGGGTGCCTCTGCAGGATTGCAGTGCAGCCATTCACTGCTCAGTGAACTCGTGCTGTTGACTCAGAGGTTGACTTTTCCTTAGCAGAGTGGAGTGGACTCTTCTTCTAAACCCCACTCTGAGTCCCTGTCAATTTTGTCCTCTCTTGTTTGTCTGTATTTGCTGTTTTAACTCGCTGTCATTTGTGTTGCCACCTATTTCACTCTGTTTTTACTTATAAAAGGTCATGTGGAGAGGGCAGTAGGATTTGGCAGTAGGGAAGACAACTGCCATAAATACATGTAGGTACCAGGAAAGCAACCAGTTTATAAAACAAACTGTGCAAAGTGAGGTAGAACTGGTTTAGCAAAGTACTGAGGTGTGTCTAGTCAGTGGGTACAGTCAAGCCCTGTCTTTCCATCTGCTGTCTTTTTATTTTAAAACCTTGTTTGGTGGTTAGAAATGAGAATATTTTTCAGCTGAGTTTATGTTCAGTTTTTTGTTGTTGTTTGTTTTTCTGCTTCTCTGTCTCTGTGATTCAAACAGCACATTTTGCTCTTCAGTGGCTCTGGTGACTGCAGATACTGGAACTGGGATGTATAAAACCTTCCTGGGATTCAGTTTGTGCTGGGTAGAAAAGCTTGAAAACTGTAAGCCTCCTCTGACCTCATGGTCATGTTCTGTTCTTCAGCCAGAGTGTTGGGTTGAAATTCAGCTCTTGAATGAATTTCACAGCCTGTTTGCAAAGCTGCTGTGGGTGCTGGTCTCTATGGCAGTGCCTCACACAGCTGTAATGTAGGACCACACCTTTCTTTTTCCAAGACTGTCATTACTGACTCACATGTGGATTTTGCTGCCCTAATGGGCCCTCAGCTTACAGATAGAGTTTTAAAAATAACATTTTTGAACAAGGATATGTCTAAACATGTCCCCAGATACAGAAAAACAAAAATCCCAAACTCCGGCTGATTCAGTTGGCTGTTTTCCTCGCTAGGCCAGAGCCTTTCCCTTCACTAAATACCAGGGTAAGTGGAACTCCTGTGCATTTAGCACTGAGTTCCAGCCCCAGTGGATTGTGTCATCGGCCACAGGAAGTTTGTCCTGCTGCAAAGGAGGTGAGTCTTCTCCATGCTCATAAAACAGTTCCAGAGCAGGTGCTGCTCCAGGCTGAGCATGGCCATGCAAGGCAACTGCTGTTCAGGGAAGCCAGTTACCCCTTAGAAAGAGCCTGTTGTTTCATTTGGAGTTGTAAATAGCTTCAGCTAAACCAGTGGGATCTGTATAATGTGCTGGTAATCGTCCTCATTGCTCATTCTTTAAAACAAGCAGCTGAATAATTATGTTTCCCATTCACTCACCCCTGCTAATCTTTCCCTGACAAGGTAATCCTTCAGCTCAGGATTTACTTGCTTGTGTCACTCACCAGAAAAGCTGTAAAGCAGTGGTTCCACTGAAGCATCTCCTGAACTTGGATCACCTTTTCCTTTCTGCTGTTTTACTTACTGTGTTCTTGATTGCAGTAAAATCCCTGTGTGGTTTGGAAGCTTCCTGTGTCCCTGCTGAGGAAGTTCTCTCTGTGTCGGGAGAGTCCTGTGACAGCAGCGATGAGATGGATATCAAGGAGAGCATCAATGGGAGAGCTGCCTCCAGGAAAAAGAAGAGCAAAAGGCACAAAGGTGCGGTTGCCTGCCCTCCTGGGGCTCTGTGGGCTCCTGCTTTGTGACCTGCATGGGGGATGCTCATGCTGGCAATTTACAGCATGGTGATGGGGCTCTTGGAGCATTCTAGAATTTGTGTGTGCACAAAGAAATGCCAAGGGTTTAGTCACTTGCAAATGTGCTGGCACTTGGTCACAGGAGCTGGATTTGCACAAAGGCAGAGCCTGGGGCATGAAATCAGATCCTGAGAGCTCCTTGCTTTTAGCAAATATCCCTCAGCCTTGGATAACAAACACTGCTGTTCCAGAGTTGTGCAACTTTGCTACTGGCTGTGTTGCTTCACTGAATGTGGGGTGGTGGCAGCAGGTTTGCTTTGGGGTTGAAGTGCTGTTGTCCATGATGCAGTTGTTGGTAAAACAGAAGCTCTGTTTTCAGTGTGTTTCCAAGGCTGTGGTTTGTTACAAAAAATGGGTTTAAAGGGCAATTTTTCCAGCAAGGAGGTGCATTTGATCCTAGTGGCATCATAATATATTAATTCAAGGGAGATGTATCCTTCAGCACTTAACTTTGTGCAACTCTGTAGAAATCCATTGACAATGCAGTGTAAGCAGCAAACAGCTCTGCTGGACTGGCAAACCCTGCAGATGTTTCTAGTAACAGTTTGCTTTCAGGTTGAGAAGCAAATTTTAACCAGTTTTCTTGAGCTTAGTAGCAATTTATGTAGCACGTGATCATCCACCACAGACTGAACATAGACAGCACTGTCTCTGGGAAGGGAGTTAAAAGAATTTAACTTCTTATATTAAGGCATCCTTCAGAATCCTGGCAAAATAATATCTGGGTGGCTGGAGCTATGTGTCTGGAAAGACAATATTCTGTTCTGCTACAGCCTTGTCTTGTTTCTGCTGCATGTTTAGGGAGGAAAAAATGGTGCTAGAACAGCTTGTGGCTGCCCTCTGAGTTCAGCAGTGTGGAGGTTGATGGCTTCTTGAGCCAGAGCTGACCCAGCAGAGAGGGTGTAGCAGCCCCTTGTGGGTGTGCCTGCCATAAATAAATCTGAAGTGCTGTGGAGAAGTGAGCACATTCAGAGTTTTCTTTGGCAAGCATCACATGAGGATAAAAATTGCCCTTTGTATTAACCTGCTGTCTCAGGGTTACTTGTGGCACCCTCAAGTTCCCAAACACTGCTTCTATGCCAGAGACCTCACAGCAGCTTTTCCTGTTAGCACTGTGCACAAGTTGTGTTTTCCTTCTCTGTTCTTATCCTTCCTAATGCTCAGTATTGTTCACCTACTTACATTCTTTAAAAGTATTTTTTACTCCTAAAGTTGGAGCAGTGTCTGTGGAAAAACACATAGTGTAAACTACAAAACACTCACAGGAATGAAAAGAGTGTGAGCCCTCAGTTCTGGCTGAGCAGTTCTGACACCTCTGAGAGGAAGAACAGGCCATTCTCATGTGAATTGCATTAAAAGTTCCTATCGAGAAGCTTTAATGAAATTAAGAGATTTAAGAAAAGCAGCTGATTGCCAGATGCAGAACAGAATTTCCCTCCCTGACATAACTCCTACCAAAATACTATGACCACTGGAACAAAGAATTGACAAGCCTGGCAGTGTCAATGATCAGGGTCTTCAAGTGTGAATCGATTTTAGTGGCCTGTTGAATGTGTCCTTTTGATTAAAAATGCAGGAGCTTGGCCCTCCTTTACATAAAGTTGCCTCTATTTGACATCCAGTTTTTATTTCTCAACCTCACTGTGGTATTTCAGCTGTGACAGGGTCAGGCATTGAAACAGGGTCCAGAAAGGCTTTGTGGTTTCCATCCTTGCACACAGAACTCACTTGGAGACGATGCTGAACAAAATTATTTAATTCTGTGTGCTTTGAGCTGAGTTGCTGGATTAGAAACTTCCAGAGAACCCTTTCAGCCTGAATTCCTTTATGAATCTGCCACTTTGCCCACTTGTGCAGCAGAGGTCACAGTGGCAGGTGTCCAGCACAGGGGAGGTGTCGTGGCTGTGTGGCCACCGATGGGACTGGGGAGGAGGGTCACTGAGATTGTGCAGACTGGGCTTGGACTGGCTCTGTGTGTAATTTAGTGGCCCATCTGTGCTGCCAGGTGTGCAGTGTGTGTGTCTAGGTGGGAATTGGTGCAGATGGGATGTCCTGTGCTAATATACCCTCATTGCCTTTAGAAGATGCTGAAGGGGGAGGAGGAGAGGAATATCCCATCGACATCTGGCTGCTCCTGGCTTCCTACATCCGCCCTGAGGACATTGTCCGGTTCTCTCTGATCTGCAAGAAAGCCTGGACTGTCACATGCACTGCTGCATTTTGGACCAGGCTCTACAGAAGGTGAGACCCGAGGATTTTTACACTGGTTTCAGTAGAGAGCAGTTCTCTGCAGAGCTGGAAATAAGGGAATCATTCCCTGTGGGCCTGGGCCCTGTGTTTGCACACTGTTCGGAATATTCTTCTCCCTCAAAGACAAGCTGAGAGAGCTGGGGTTGTTCATCCTGGAGAAGAGAAGGCTTGGGGAAGACCGCCATGTGACCTTCTAGTACCTTAAGGGGGCTTATAAAAGGGAGGCAGAGGGACTTTTTATGTGGGTGGGTGGTGACAGGACACAGAGCAATGGTTTTAAACTGTGGGCAGAGGGCAGGATTAGATCTGATGTTAGGAGAAAACTTCTTGGCTGTGAGGGCAGTGAGGTCCTGGCACAGGTTGCCCAGAGAAACTGTGGTTGTCCCATCCCTGTAAGTGTCTGAGGCCAGGTTGGAGCACCCTGTCATAGTGGAAGGTGTCCCTGCCTATGGCAGGGGTGGAATGAGCTGAGCTTTAAGGTCCCTTCCAACCCAGACCATTATTAGATTCTAATGTCATGTCTGTTTTGGATCTGGAGATGGATTTTTGAGGAGTATTCCTGTATGTTCCCTGTAAAATCTCAGAGCTTTGTGTCCTTCTCTGTTTGCCATGTCCCAGCACTTGTATATATCAACCTCTCCAAGTGTGTGTGGCATAGTCAGTGCTGAAAGGGAAACATCACTGATGGACAACTCGCCCTGCTTCAAGCTCTGATCACAGCCACCTCCCTGTATTGGGGCATCTTGGAGCTGTACAGTGACAGGAGTGAGTGAAAGCAAGGAGGGCAAAGGGATGGTCAGCAGTTGATACAAATCCTTCTGTCCCAGTGCATGCCACTGGGATATTCCTTCAGGACAGAGTATTTTCTTTACACATCTTTTACATTTACCTGTTGCCCAGGAGGCACAAGCAGCAGGGGCAGAGTAGACAGCAGCTGTGATCACCCTCACCCCTGGTTTTTAGTGGGACATTCCATAGCAGAGGCTCCTTTGGAATGCGATCAAGGAATAGCCCTTGAGTGCAAGTGCTGGGGCTGCTCTGGCAGTGCTGGGAGCTACAGTCAGCTGAGCTGGGAGTCCCTGAGAACCTGCAGCAACCTGCAGCCCTTTGTGCAGCCTGCAGCTACATCCCCAGCTGGTCTCTGGGCAAACTAGGAATTGGGAGCTGCAGCAGGATGTGTGGGCTGGACACCTGCCTGGTGCAGCTCACGGCTTTGAGGCTGCCGTGTGATGTCCTGTCAGCAGCACACCCCCCTCGCAGCCCTGAGGGTCTGTCCTGTGGTCAGACCGATGTGGAGTTTCCCTCTGACACAGCTCTGTCCCTGCCCTGGGGGTGACACCATGGCTGTGGGTTCTGCAGGCACTACAGCCTGGATGCGTACCTGCCCCTGCGCCTGCGGCCGGAGTCCATGGAGAAGCTGCACTGCCTGCGCGCCTGCGTCATCCGCTCCCTGTTCCACATGTACGAGCCCTTCGCTGCCCGCCTCTCCAGGAACCCCGCCATCCCAGACAGTACTCCCAGCACTTTAAAGAATTCCAGAGTAAGTGGCATCACTCAGGAACTGGGGTTTGTCTGAAGTGTTGCTTTTTCTGTTCAGGTTTTTTGATTTCTAGAGGAAAAACAGATGATGTGGAGATGGTCAGCAGTGAAGCTGGGGTGTAGGATGGTCACTAACTGGGTATTCTCAGTGGGATCTGTAAAATTGGGCTGGTTACTTGTTATGTTTTAGAGTAACTTCTGCCCAAGTCCTACAGTACACCATTTTAACCAGCAAAACCAGTCCTGGTTTCACTGGATGTCAGAACTGTAAGGGATGTTTGCTACTCTCCCCTCCTCTGAATGAGGCTCCATGGGATCAGCTTTTATATGTTTTCCTTTATTCTGACACTGTCTGCCAGAGTACGTCTTCTCTCTGTAACAGGCCTCTGGAGAGCTCAAGAGTGACACTGATGGCAGGAGTTGTGTCACCTGCTTTCCTGCAGGTCATCCGTGGTCTGGTGTGTGGGTGAGGTGGGGTGGTGACGCTGGGGTGAGCATGGCAAATGTGCAGAGGCAGTGTCTGTTCTGGGACTGGGCAGCACTTGTGTTGGGCTGTGAAGGGTTTGTCTGTGGTGTGGGCAGGTAATTCCCTGTGCTATCCCAGCTTGGAGCACTTGCTTCTCATTCCTCTTTAATTGCTGTTGACCATTAACTCTGAAATGCCTTTGTGTCTCTTGTTTGGTTTTAACTTGCAACTGGCCGATACTCTGTGAGCAGCTTAAGCAACAATGTAAATTCTCCACCTCCAAATCCAAGGTCAAAAACCTGTTGAATGAGGATTTTGGAGCCCAACTGAAGTGTGTTTCATTGAGGAGTTACTCTTTCTTTTCTGTTCAAAATAGAGGAGCTTCATCTATCTGTATGTGACATCCTGCCTTTCTTCCTTCCTCTCCCTGTCCCAGCTGTGTCCCCATAGGCTCGGGGAGCATCCAGCAGCACACAGGAGGTGCTGCTGCAGCACAGGGAAAAGCACATGGCTCTGTGTGCGGTCTTATCTCTGCATCCAGAGCTTCTCCTTCTCTTCCTGAGTCCCCAGGCTGGGGATCTTCATTCTTACCAACTGAAAAAGCAAGACACTTCGAGGAAATTCCAGTAGTCCTGAGCCCAGGCTCCCACTGCTCGTGGCTGTAGGAGCTGGAACCCCAAGGTGGTGCTGGCAGGGTCGGGAGGATTCCTGGTGACATCATAACGGCTTTGGTGCCCACTGCTAGTGCTTCTCCTGTACTAACAGTTGGAGGAGGATCCTTTTAAGTGCAGTCTTTCATTGTTCAGCTTTTAAAAAAGGAAATTAAATGGGGACGAGACTTTGTCAAAGCAGTAGAGATTTGACCTAACCCCTTGCAGCATGAAAGAGCCACCCTGAGCCTGGTCTTGCTGTACTACTGCACTGCAGGACTCTGAGCTGTACTTGTGTGACTGTGCACAGAAGTTCCTCAGCACAGAGGGTTTGGAGGAGGACCTGGCACTGCCTCCTCACGTTCTGGCTTTCCTGGGCTTTGGTTGTACCTTTGTGGGTTGCTGACACTAACAGCAACGACTACCTAAACTGCATGTGGCTAGAGGAAAGCCCAGTCCTGGGTGTGATCCAACCTAGCTTTTCCTCTTTAATTTCCTTTTTTCTTTCCCTAGCCTAGCTTGTGTGGGACACTTGGAGCCGTTATGGTGTCAGCAGAGGTGTTTGCCCTTTAAAGACACCCCAATATTTTGGGCGGAGCGGCAGCCGCACGGCGCGTCTGAAGGGCAGGACGGCTGACCCGAGGACGACATCCTCTGCCCCTTAGGAGGTACTGACCTTTTGTGCTTCACTACTTGCCATGACCAAACAGGTTGCTAGACAGGCTGTCTCTGCAGGTGAACTACAAATGCCACTGACGGTGGAGTTAAACTCAGCAGCATCTGCTGCTCATCTGAGTTAAAAGATCTGGAGAAGGTTTTTATTGGAAAAAACTTGAGGGCTGCTTCCTCCCAGGTGGAGGTTATTCCATGCATGTTTCTGAGCTTTACTCCACAGAGCTTTGTTGTTCACTTCATGAAGGTTGTGGAGAAAAAGGGTCCTTTAAGGACTCTTGTTTATGGATATGACTTAAAGTTGAAGTAGAGGATCTTGTATCTCCTTTGGTCTCTTCAAAGCCCCTGTGGTAAAGGCTGGCTCTGGCTTCATTTTATTAGGATCATCTTGGAACGAAGTTAAACGTGTGCTTTGCCCTGCAACCCAGTCAGGCCTTCTCTCTTCAGGAGAGACTGTGTATGGATCACAGGGAGTTCTCTCTACCCACATTATTCCTCCTCTTCCTGCTGACACTGATGAAAGATAAGACCAGCTGTGGTGGGCTGGCATCTGTGGTGTGGAAAAGCTTTGAGAGATGGCTGGACTGACTTCCCAGGTTCTTTCCTTGGTTGTTGAAGGCTGCTTGCTTGTACTGTGATTGGTAGGCAGGGATTTCCCTCCTACAGGAGTTCTTCTGAGCCTCCTGGGCTGGAGCCTGTGACCCACAGTGATAACCAAGTGAAATTAGAGAAGTCCTAGTGTGTATCTGTGTGGGAGGACAGTGCTGGTGACTTTTGAGGCTGTTTGAGGCTGGTTTCTCATTTCCTTTTGAAAAGAGACAGAAGGTTGTTCAGACTGTGCTGTCCTGGCACTGGTTTTGGACTCAGAACGATGACAGTCAGTGCTGATGATGGCAAGGTCAAGGTCTCCATTTGACACCACAGTGGTTTAGGAACTTCTTCATCCATCACCTCATTGCTTGTGTACTGGTCTTTATATTTCCCTCTAGATCCTTTCCTTTTCAATCCTTATTCTGTTCTCTGTTGTTCCTTGCTTTAACCTTGTTAGGAACCCAGTTTAATGGGAGCTGCTGGTGGGTGGAGGGAATGGGTGAATCTGCACCACTCATCCCTGCCCTAGGAAAGGGACAAATGGCACTACAGGATTTTGCTGTTTGGCACATCAGTGACTACGTGTTGCATGAGGAGTTGGCCAGCTTGAAACTGGGATATCTACACTGCCGAGAGGGTTCTTGGAATGTAATTAATTTGAATAAGTGGCTCCTAATTGCTCCTATATAATTGTGTTTGCAATTGGAAGTCTTTATAATCAGTTAAAACTTTCTTAAAGTGGTGCTTCTTAAGGGTTTCATAATATTGTATTTCTTTTTTCCACCTCAGTGTCTGCTTTTCTGGTGCAAAAAGATTGTAGGGAACAGACAAGAAGCAATGTGGGAATTCAACTTCAAGTTCAAAAAGCAGGTATGAAAGAACCAGATCAGCTGTGACTTTTGTTTGAAGCAGAAATTATTTTTCTGGGGGGTAGAAGGGAAGTGGAAGCTTTTTGTCCATTCAGACAATAAATGCAAACTGATTCCCATTGTAAACCAAAGCACATTGTGGAACTAAACTCAGTTTTCAGTTTCAAGACATTTAGAATCCCATATTTTTATTTCCTCCTTTGGTGTCCTTTCCCTGCTATGAGATGTGGATGATTTTTTACACCAATTAATCTCACCTTTGGGTCATCACTACTGATTTTTGCTGAAACCCAGAGAGTCTGACTGCAGTGGTCAAAATGTTGACCAAAATCTGAAACTTCTTGTTACGCCATTGCCAAGATTTCTCAGAGAAGTGAAGACAGCCAGCACTGCCAGGGAAAGCCTCCAGAAGTGGAGTAGTGGAGAAATTACTGGGAGAAGCCAGTAATTTCAGGGAACCTTGGGAATTGTGCAGCTTTTCCCTCTAAAGAAATGGTCCTGAAAATTTCCCATCCTGAGTGATGGCATTGTGTTGTTAATGTGATACTTTGCCCAAACACCTGGGGAGGAGGAGAAGCCTTGCCAGGCTGCACTGGGGAGGAGCAGCCAAACCCAGCAGAGCTTCCTGCTTCACTAAATTTGCCTCTCTTTCTTTCAAGTCTCCCAGATTTAAGAGCAAGTGTTGCAAAGGTCTCCAGCCCCCAATCCAGTATGAGGAAGTGCACACAAACCCAGATCAGGATTGCTGCCTGCTGCAGATAACCACCTTCAATTTCATCTTCGTGCCAATCGTCATGGGCATGACCTTCACCTTGGTGAGTGGGAGGAAGCTGCCAGACTTTGCAGATGAGGTTCCTGTAAGGACATGAAGGGGCACCTGGAATCTCCTGTGTTCCAAGGGACCCACAGGGATCATCAAGCCCAACTCCTGGCCCTGCACAGGACAGCCCCAAGAATCCCACCCAGTGCCTCTTTTGGGCTGTATAAATCTTACTGCTCTATCAGCAAACCAGTTCTGGGAATCATATGGTTAATGAAGAGAGAAAATGCTCAGAATCTCAGCTGAGCTTCACCATTTCCGTTGGCTCTTCCCTGTTTGGTGCAGTGAGTAGAGAGGATGTAGAGAATCTGCCAGGAGCTGTGTTTGTGCAGTGTCTGGGGGCAGGTTAGTCAGAACTGCAGCAGGTACAGGAGACAAGGAGCAGCACTAGTGGAGGTCTGCCCCGACAGGAAAATACCTCTTTATGGCAATAAATTCTGAGAGGAAAATCCCACATGAGAAAACTCCTTAGATGTGTTTGGTCCCTGGTTGGGAGTCAGCATTTCAGAAGTGGCCAGTGCTCCGGAGAGGTTCAGTCTGGCCTCGCTTAGGAGTTAGGCAGTGAGTTCCAGACTTCTCCTGACCGCTGCTTGCTTCCAGGTTCACTTAGAATCAGACTCATAAAATTACTTAGATTGGAAAAGACCTTCACAAGTCCCAGCACTGCCATGCTCACCCCTAAGGCATGTCCCAAGTGCCACATCCACAGGCCTTTAGAACACTGCAAGGGATGGTGACTCCACCACTGCCCAGGCAGTTCCAGTGTTCTTTTACAACCCTTAGACCTCACAGCATGGTTGTTGGAGGCTGCCAGCCAGAGAGCCCGTTTGGATCCTGTGCTTTAGCCTGGGGAGTGTGACTGTGAAACACCTGGGACTTGTCTAGAAGTGTTGTGTTGAGAGCTCTCTTGGTCACTGTGACTTTCTGAAGCAGCTCTGCTCTCCTCTCTTGCAGTTCTCCATCTCGGTGAGCACGGACATGCGGCACCACCGCGTGCGCCTGGTGTTCCAGGACGCGCCCGTGCGCAACGGGAAGAAGCCGCGCATGGAGCAGGGGGTGCAGGTGGTGCTGGACCCTGTGCACAGTGTCAGGCTTCTGGATTGGTGGCACCCACAGTACCCCTTCTCCCCAAAGGCCTAGTGCTCTCCTGAGGCTGCAGGAGCCCACAGGGGACTGAATCTGGCAGGCTGAAGAGAATTTCTAGGAACCAGGAAATCCTATTTTTATTTCTGAAATAAATTCTGCAGTCTCCTTGCAAGTGGTTGAAGCTGCTGAGCTAGTTTGTATGTATATAACTTCTTTCTGGTCAGTAATGAGCAGAGCTGAGTGTAAAGCAGAAACTATTTGTAAACACACTTTTATGTAAAATTGACATTTTATGATTTGAAAGGAGCTCCCTGAAACTGTTCATTTAAAATCCTTTTGGTGCTAATCAAAGTGGTCCTGTGTTCTCTTGTTCGGGAAGAGGCAGGAGGTTTTGCTTTCCGAGAACTTTCCCTTTTGCTTTCCAGGAACAATTTACAAACAAAATCCATGTTTGTTTTACTGCAGCAGAATTGTGTTCATGCACAGTGTGATATTTCAGTGTCTGAGAAGCAGTGAGCAAGACAGCAGTGATCAACAATAATCTTAATTCCCAGCCCAGAAGATCTGAGTTTAAGGAAAGAAAAAGTCATAAATGCTCAAACAAAGGTATTACTTCAAAGAGGAGTTGTAAGGCAAAAGTCTCACTTGAATGTAAAGGTACTCAAGTTCTCACACTGGTGTTTTTCTTTGAAAAGAAGATCTAAACTTTTAAAACCAGACGGTGCTTTTTAGAGAACACAAACAGAGAGAGGAGGGGATAAACTAAAATAACCGAAGCAGTGATGAAAGACTCGACTGTCTTTTGAAAGAGCAGTGTAGAAATCTTTTCTGTTGAAAGCCCCCAAGCAACCACTGATCTAGCTTTTGACTAAACAAATTGATTTCTGTGAGGAAGAAGCAACCCTGAAACTTCCTGTGGTTCTGGGCTGACTGAGAAGTGAGGGGTGCAGGGGCTGGACCTGTTGGGGGTGTGATCTGAGCAGAATGAACGTGTCTGGAGGTTTAATTGAACACGTGGCTCCCTGGGGAGGTGTAGAGGAGGTGCTGCAGGGCAGGGGAGCAGCTGTGCAGATACCCTGGCCTGAACTTTGCTGCCTTTCAGATCTCAGTTCCTCAGTCCTACTGCACATCACATCCGGTCCCAAGCAGGAGGAGCTGCACTTGTCCGTGTAGGATGTTCACTGAAGCTCCTGAAGGAGAGGGAGTTCTGCCGTCTCGGTTTGGACTCAGTGGTCTTCGTGAGTCCCTTCCAGGTCAGAATATCCAGTGATTCTGTGACCCCCACATGACCCTGGTGTAGCTGCCCAGGAGGAGTTCCTTGCATGTACCTCTGCCACTTTGTAAATCACCACTAAGGGCATCTGCCCCAACCTTGGATCTGTGTTGGAGGCTCTTCATTTGACTTCAAACACATTTGGGACAGCTCCTGCCTCACATTTCCCTTTCCACTACTGCTGAACTTCTGTTGATGCCACCAGGTAAGTTTTGAATTTAAATTGGTTTAGTAGAGATAAATGTGCTGTCCCTATGCTCCTGGGGCTGCCATGATAGCAGAGCCTGGGCTATCTTCTGGTTGTGGTGCAGGAGAGACAGGACAGGGGCTGAAGCTGTGAGTAAGGGCTGCAGGGGCTCCATCTCCAAGGAAGATGCCCCAGGGAAGTGGGGGACAACAATCTTCCTTTGGCTGTGGTGTTAAACACCACTGAACTCAGGGAGAAGTGTTGAAGCTCAGGAAGTGAAATGTGGTCGTGCTGCAGTTTCCAGTTGTCTTGCAGGGAGGTGGCTGCAGAGAGCCTGGTTCTGACTGTGCTTCAGGCTGTTTCCTGCCACATTCCCTGAAAACTCCCTTGTGATGGTGCCAGGGCTGTGTGCCTGCTGATAGCTGTTTGTGCAGGGTCTGGAGGGTGGGAGCAGAGTGGTTTGGTTCCTGCCTTAGGCTGATAGCAGTGTGTGCCTTAGGCTGGTGTCTGTGCGAGGCTGTGCCCGTATCTGTGAGGAGCTGCTGTGGCTGAGTGGGGCTGGGAACAGCAGCCTGGGCCCTGCTCTGGCTCCTGTGCAGAGCCACAGGACAGCTCTAGGGGTGTGTGTTCCTGCCATCAGGCAAAGCAGGAACACCTCATCAGGCATGTGGCAAATCCAGGGGGCAGAGATGCTTGGCAGCTCCTAGAATTCCCTGGCTGATCCCTGGCAGTGCAGCCAGAGCAGGTAGCACAGGCTGTGACAGCAGCAAGCAGGTGGATGGGATGTTTCCTGCCACCAACAGACTTGCTGGATTCAAATATGGTATTTAGATACAGATTGATGCCCCTCCGAGGCCAGGCTTTTTCTAGGCTGAAATGTAGAAAATGTGCAAGAACAATTCTCAATATTTTCCTTTACAAAGCTCCCAGTGCTGGAGCTGTACTGATCAGCAGTGCTGGCAAGGCTTGGGAACCTGTTCTGATCCATCTTGGGAGGCTGGGGAGTGGCAGGGATGCTATGGAGGGGGTATTCTGCCTCTGTGGAACTGCAGATGCAGGTGTTCCCTTGGTCCTTACCCAGAGCATCACACCCTGAACCCTGGGTCGAGGTTTGCTCGGTGAGGGAGTGACACCAAAGCTCTGCCCCGAGCAGGGTATTTCCACCCTGGCCCCGAGCCCAGCCTCTCTTGAAGCTTGATTGCCGAAAAAGTCCCTCCAGGGTGGGATGCAGTGAGTGCACAGGCAGGAGTGGCTGTGATTTGGTGTCACCCATTTCTGCAGGACACAGCTCACAGGGGTCCCTGGTTGTGTGGAATGGAGCTCCAGATCAGCATCGTGGTGGCTCTCCCTGTGCTCTCCCTGCTGTGTGAGGCTCTGTTCTACCTTTGCTTTGCCCTGCTCCTGAATAATGGAAGGCTGTAAACAGATCCTGCCTGCCTCTCTGGTTTCCTTGGGGAGACAGGAAGATTTGGCCACAACCCTCACCCTGTTCCTATCCTTGTCAGGGATCCGGTGTCCAACAAGAGCTGAGCTGGGTAAGGCGGGGCCTGGGGGTTTGGGAAAGGGGGCTGGGCCCTGCTGTGGGTTCCCTTGTGCTTGTCCCATCCCAGTCCCTGTGCTCTGGCCCCAACTGGGGGAACTGGTCCTCCCCAGCCCCCTGTGCTGGGTGTGCCTGTGCAGCCACGGGGCTCTCTCAGAGCAGCCTTTGCACCTTCTTCAGCTTATTCTAAAAGCAAGCAAAAATGTGTCTTTTAGCCTCATTTCAGCCACCTCCCTGTTTCCCCTGGTGAAATATTTCAGTGGGTTTGTGTTTGGGGTCAGAGAGAGGTTTGAGAGCAACTTTGGGTGCCAGGCTCTGGTTGGTTCCTGGGCACTGGGGCTGTGCTGTGGCTCTCACAGGGGGCAGGTGGAGGGACTCCTTTTCAGCACCCAAACACCACCTGGGACTTGTTCCATAGCACAAAGGTACGGCTGAATGAACTGGTTCAGGCTGGACTCGTGGCACCTGCTTTGAGGGCAAGAGGACCCAGGATGTTTGCCTGGGCACCAGGAGCTCTGTCCTAGCTGTGGATTCCTTTCCTGCCCAGGCAGGCTTGTGAATGTGCTGGGAGAGTGCCAGCACTGCACCCTGAAGTGGCCTGTGGGGACCAACAGGGAATTGAATTTGGTGGCTCTGCTGCTCCCCTTGGCAGTGCTGGCTGTTCCTACCCTGAGCACTGGGGATGCAGGGCTGTGCTGGGTGTCACAGCCCTCCCCCTCTTCCTTTCTGTGCAGGCAGGAAAGACCAGGTTTCCTTCCTGTGCAGGAGTGCAGCTATGGTTGAGAAAATCCCTCCCCCTCCTGCAGCTGCCACCAAGCCCCATGCTCCTTTCCATCCTGGGCCACTGAGCAGCAAAAGCTATGCTGGGCTGGCCCATCCTGGCTCCTTTGGCCCTCCTGGAGTCCTCCAGCCCCTGCCCAGGTGGGAATCCTCAAGTGCCTCTGCTCCAGTGCTGGTGGAGTGTCCCCACTGAGCCCCTGGGACCCCACTGGGACAGAGCCACTGCCGTCACACCATCGGAGTGTAAGGATTTAAACCCAAATGATGTGTGAAAAGTGAAAGCCAGCAGATCTGGGAGCCTGGGGACGTCTCTTCCACCTTCCCAGCACCTGCTTCCTGCCCTACCTTATCTCTCTCGTGCAGAGATGTCCCAGGCTCCATGTGTTCCCACAGGGAGCAGCCAGGGCTGGAAGTTGTTATGGGGGATTTGTAGAAGTTGGAGCCTCTCACAAGGGACGTGAGGCTCTCTGAAGGTAGGAGAGATCCAGGACAGCAAGGAGAGAAGGGCAGTGGGATCCACACTTCTGTGTGAATAAATGGGGTGGGTGGAATGGAAGGGAAGGGGCTTCCTGCCCACTGGGATGCCGTGGGTGAGTTGCTGTTTGGGGAAGAGTTGATCTGGAGCTGGGGACAAGCAATGCCATTGGTGACTTGTGGATGCTCCAGAGCCATGTTCCTGCACTGGGTCTGGAGGAGGGAGGCAGTGGGAGAAAAGTCTTGGAGGGTGGAGGATCTGGGAACAAACCAGGCAGTGGAAGGTCCCTGTGTGGCCCACATCGGTTCGTTGGGATCAGAAGAGGCTTCATTCCCAGCCCAGCTGCAATGTCCAATACTCCAGTGAGGAGCTGGAGTGTCCTGGGGCTACATCCCAGGTGGGATCCAGGTTCTGCCCTGGCCCGGGGTGGCAGCCGTGCAGTTCTGGCTCTGCAGCCCCAGAGTTTTTTGCCAACTCAGCACAAGAGCTGGAAAATAAATGGGGAAAAAGCTGTGCCAGCCCCGTGTCCCCAGCCCCGTGTCCCCAGCTCCTGGCTCGGTGAGATGGCAGGTTCGTGCTGGGGCTTGGCAAGAGCCGCCGGCGGGGGCTGGTGGTGCTCGGGGGACTGGAGGATGGGGTCGGTGGGACACAGACATGTCCCATGCGGGGATGCCCGTCCCTGAAGCTGCTCCGTTCCCTCGGTGGGCTGGGGCCCTTGCCCGGAGCCCTTGGGGCAGAGGCCGGCGGCGGACGCTCCTCCTCTGAGGGAGGCAGGCGAGGGCTCGGGGTGGGGCTTTGCCGAGCGAGGATCCAGAGTGTGGCCAGCCCGGGGAAGTGCCAGGGCCGAGCGCTGCCGCCCACCCGTGAGTGTCTGCCCCCGGCGGGGGCGCCCAGAGCGGGGCTGGCCAGGAGCCGTCTCCTGCTGCCATGGGAGGGGTGTCTGGGACCCGGGGTGAGGGCAGGGGGCTGCCCGGGGGGTTCCCCGGCTCTCAGTGCTGGGGACAGGGTCGGTGGAATTGTCCCTTCCCGCAGGGAGCCCCCTGTGCTGGGGACAGGTGTGGGACACCTGAGCTGACCGAAAGCTTTGTCCCCCGGAGCCGTGTGCTGCTGGAACAGGGCATTTCCCCTCCTTTGTCCCGTGGGACAGCCCCTGGAGCAGAGACACCCAGGGACATGGGGCCAGACCCTGGCCTGACTCCCAGGGGTCCCCATCCCACACAGCCCCGAATGGCCACAATTTACAGTGTCCCCCACACATTGCTGCTGCTGCAGCCCCTCTCCATCCCGAGATCCCCAGGGCGGGGCACTGAGTGTTTTTACCCTGCTGGGTGACACAGCATTTGTGTGTGCCTCAGTTTCCCCCAGCACAAAAGGCACTCCTGGCAGTGGGAAAGGAGCCCTGGCTTTTCCCTCCTCCTTGTGCCTTGGAGAGAGCCCTGCTCTCCCCAGTGCTGGCAGAAGCAGCTGGAGCTGCCTGCACACCAGGAGTGTTCACAGAGGAAACCTCGTAGGACTGAGGCTGGGAATGGACTGTTCCTTCCCCCTGCCCTGGACTCAGGCTGGAGAGGAATTTGGCTCCAAGCAAGTGGCTCTCAGCTCCTCCTGGCAAATGTCCCCACAGTGGTGGCTTTTGGAGACGTCTGCAGTGGGGTGCTGAGCTGTGGGGAAAGTGCATGGGGTGCTTGGAGCAGTGTGGGGACAGGGATACGCTGTGGAGGCACTTGGAGCTGGAGCAGGAGGAAGCTGTACCCCTGGTTGTGCCCTCTTACCTGAGCTGCTTTGTTCCTCCATGGAGCCAGAAATCCAAAGTCCGATTAGGGGGCTAATTAAGTGGCTGCACTCTCACCTTCTGTTCTGTGCTTGTCACCTGTTCCCCATGTGGCCTTGCCCTTCCTGGCTCACCATGGCCCTGCTTGTAGATCCTGGAGGTCCAGGCTTGGGAATGCATGTCCAGGGTGGTGTCAGGGTGTGACGTCCCTGTGGCTCGGACAGGTCCCTAATGCTGCTCCCCCCTGAGCTGGTGAGGTGCCCCATGTGTCCAGAGCTGTAAGGGATGGAGAGGCCCCACTCTCTGCTGTGCCTGTGCAGGCATTTCCAGCAGCTCCAGGAGCTCGTTGGCTCTGCCCTGCCTGGAAGCACAGCTCCCTGGCTCCAGGTGTTTATCTCCAAGGAACGCGACGTGTCCCTGCACGGGGTCATTGCTCCAAGGACAGAGTGGCTGCAGATCACATCAGGGGCACCTGCTTGGCACCAGCCTCCTCAGGAGCTGACAACCCCTCCAAAGGATTCCTAGGCACAAAAACTGGAGGGTTCTCCTTAAATTAAGCCCAGCATATGCTCCAGAGCAGTGGCCCCAGAGGCTCTGCTCCTATCTGTGGAGCCTGTGGGTGGGCTTGGAGCATCCCCTGCACAGCGGTGGTTGGGGCAAGAAAGTCTTTAGGGCACAGTCCTGGGAAGCCCGGCCTTGGTTTGGGAAGGCTTAGGAGGGCTTTTCCTCCACATTTGCATTCAAAGCTGCTTTGACCAAGCCAAGGCACTGTGTGCAGTGTGGATGGGGCTGAGGGTGTTTGCCCTGTCACACTGGGCACTCACCTGGGCTCAGCTGTTTCTCTTCCAGGGCAGAACTGTCACATTTATAACTGAAAAAACCCAGCCAAAGACAGGAGCCTTTTAGCCTCCTGCCATACCTCTGCTACAAGGTAAAATACCTCAAGTTCACTGCAACTTTCTTGAAGGTGACACTGTCTCCTCAGGGATGCCTTTTTTGTCCTGCCAGTCAGGGCACAGGGCTGGGACAGGGTGAGCTGGTGCTTGTCTGGAGGAAGGTGGGGAGCTGCTTCCTCCTCACAGTGCTGGAAGAGCAGCCTGGGCCCATTTCAGACCTGAGTGTTTCCCAGGGCTTGAGGTGTTCGTGACTGGTCTGGGGTGTCCCCACGACCAAAAAGTTTTTCCTAAGGTACTGTCACCTGCATTTCTTCTGCATCCAGCTCTGGGGTGCTGCTTGGGGTGTCCCAGGGCAGCTGAGGTGGCTTGGGGCTGGTTTGGGGGGATTTTGTACCTGGCTGTTTCCATCCTGGTCAGGTTGGGGTGTCCCTGTCCCTTCTGCCCAAAGGGAACAGTGCACAGGTGTTGTCTGATGCCCCACGGCTGCCCCAGTGTGTTGCACCTGTGGGTGCTCAGGGCAGGGGGGCAGTCCCAGGGGTGTATCCATGTACTGTCCCATCCAGGGGGTGGTGGCTTTCCCCAGACTGTGCCCTGACATGTCCCATCTCCCCAGGCCTCAGCCAGCAGGGGCCATGCGATGCTCCCTGAAACGCTCCCTCATGGTTCTGCTCACTGCCTCCTTCCTCCTCCTCCTCCTCCTCCATGGGGGCAGCTGGCAGGAACAGGATCCCCTGAAGGTGAGTCAGTGATGTCCCACTGGGGAGGCCACTGGAGTATCCTCTATTCCTTTCTGCCTCACATGGACCCTGACCTCAGCTCTGCTCTCTTCCCAGCCCCATGTCACCCCCAACCCCCAGCTCTGCCTTCTCTCCCTGGGGTTACCTTGGGCAGATGGACCCCTTCTGGGTCCCTATTGTCACCCCCTCTTGCTGCATGGTTCCCTGGGATGTGACCTGGTTGCCTGTGGCTCTCATGCAGGTGCAGCTCAGGGGCCTGGATCCTGACACGATCCTGCAGCTGCTGCAGCCAGAGGGAGCCAGACACATCCTCAGGGACACAGACGAGCTCTCTGCACTCCACAACGTCTCCTACCAGCTCCTTGCTGGCTCCCTGGCTCCCCGGAAAAGTGAGTGGTCCTGGACTCTGGGTGTGCACATCCCAGCACAGACCTGCCCCATCACTGCTGCTGGGGCAGGGAGGGGCTGTGTCCAGCCTTTGTGGGTGGGGACCTGCCCACAACCTCCTCCAAAACCTCCACAGCCTTCACTGCTCACTCTCGGGGAAGCTCCATGTGCTCCACACAGGGTCCAAGTTTCTGCACCTCGGGACTGGGGTGACTGGTGTTTTGGGCTTCCCAGACCTTTCTGGAGAGGGTTGCTGAGATCCCATCTCCCTGGGGTTGAGGTTCCAGTGGAGATGGTCAGCTGGATCACTGGGACAACTCCACAGTGTGGGAGAAGTGGGCCAAGCTCTTGGACAGGTGCACAAGAAGCAATTCCCATGCAAACCTTGTGGGAAGGAGCTCAGGACAACCTGTGAGGCTGTGCTGGAACCAGCACAGGAATGGTGCTGCCCCAACCAGCAGCAAGAGAAACTGAACTACTGCTGGGCCATGGGGAGGACAGAAGGTGTCTGGTCCCAGGTGGGTGCATCTCCATGAGGTGTGGAGTGGGGAACGCTTCCAGAATGTGCAGCCATACCAATAAGCCATTCCTGCCCTGTAGACTCTGCACTGATATTTGGGTTTGGCTTTTTTAAGGTGTTTTTCAGGAATTTTTCTTCAGAGGGGCCCCTGCCTCCTCAGCCTGCCTCTTGCTGCCATTTGGGCCAATTTTGGGCCCCTCCTGAGACACTGAAGGCTTCAGGATGGGTTACAAACAGCATTGACCCTGCAGGCTGGCCATGGGCAGAGGATTTTGGAGGCCTTTCATTGCATCTTGCAGGGAGGAACATCATTGTGCTGATCCCAGATCACCCCCCGTGCCTGCTCAAGCCTTTCCTTTGCCTTGCAGAATTCCTGGCAGTGGGAATGGCATCTGTGCAGAGGCCACGTGGTTTCTACCTGCTGGCCACGCTCCAGTCCCTGTTCAGCCAGTCCACGGAGGAGGAGCTGCAGGAGATGGTGGTGGTGGTGCACCTGGCTGACACCGACCCCGGCTGGAACGTGCGCGTTGCCGCCACCATCGCCCAGAAGTTCGCTCACCACATCCTCCTGGGTCGGCTCCTGCTCATCCACGCTCCCCCTGAGTTCTACCCCACCCTGGAAGGCCTGAAGAGGAACTTCAATGACGCCGAGGAGCGAGTGAGGTTCCGCTCCAAGCAGAACGTGGACTATGCCTTCCTGCTTGCCTTCGCCGCCAACCTCTCCTCCTACTACCTAATGATCGAGGACGACGTGTGGAGCGCCAGGTCCTTCCTGACAGCCATCCGCAGGGCACTGGCTTCCCAGCACGGCTCCAACTGGGCCACCCTTGAGTTCTCCAAGCTGGGCTACATTGGGAAGCTCTACCGCTCCAGTGACCTTCCTCGCCTGGCTCGCTTCCTCCTCCTCTTCTACCAGGAAATGCCCTGTGACTGGCTGCTGGTCCACTTCCGCCAGCTGCTTGCCCAGAAGGACGTGATCCGCTTCAGGCCATCCCTCTTCCAGCACATGGGCTTCTACTCCTCCTTCCAGGGCACTGTCAACCGGCTGGAGGACGAGGATTTCCAGGCTGATGCCTCGGACCTCCCAGACAACCCGCCGGCATCCCTGCGCACCAGCATGTCCGTCTTTGAGAACTACGAGCCCCACAAGGCCTACAGCTCAGCAGAGGGCTACTTTTGGGGCAAAGCCCCAGCAGCTGGTAGTACTTTTTCCATCATGTTCCAGCAGCCAGCCCGAGTCAGCCGTGTCCGGGTGCACACGGGCTCTGTGGAGCGCCCGGGTGATTTCCTGCACGCAGGGCTGCTGGAGCTGGGCTGGAGCCGGCACCACAGCCAGGACTGCTCCTCCTATGTCCCCGTGGGCTCCTTCAAGAGAGGGACCCTGGAGCAGCGGGGGCTGGAGACCGTCCTGCCTGGGCCCGTGGAGTGTGTGAGGATCCGGGTGACCCAGGACCAGAGCGAGTGGCTCATCATCCAGAGCATCGACATCTGGACCACAGCAGGCACTTGAGCACAACAACTGTGGCAGGATCTCAAAGCACCTGCATTTGGTTCTAAGAGGTCCTGTATTTTTCACATTCCCTTTTTGGATAAGAAATTAAATTACTGACTCCCACAGCCCCATGTCTGGAGAGACGGGAAGCACTGCTGTGGGCTGTGGATGTGTTTAGGGACCCATCAGGATGTGCCTGCCTGGGGGATGCTCCAGTGAGCCAGGGAGGGGGCACAGGGAGGGGAAGGGGCTTGGGAATTCAAGGCTGGGAAGTAGAAAACCTTTCCTCCCAGGACAGATGATGTACAGCACAAAGCTGATCAACTAATTAACAAACCAAGTAATTAATCAGGCAGTGGTATTTTTTGCAGCCTCTCCACTAACCTGCTCTAAGTTTTCTAACTTTTTCCAAACTTCTTGGTTTCTAACTCCCTCCTCTCTGGCCCCATTTCCCAGCTGCTCCTGGAGGGGTGAGGGGAGGGTCTGGGGGTGCTACTCCCCAGTCCCCTCCTGCAGGTTCAGCAGGTTTATGGCAGCAGCAAGCTTGCACTGGTGCCCTGCCATGTCCCGGTGCTGACTGGGGGCGACGGCCACCAGAGGGACCCATTGGCCCGGCCCTGAGCAGTGCCTCCAAACAGCTGCTGGTTCTCTCCCTCCAAGGGAAAAACAGCTCCCAGCGACCTCACCTCGTGTCCATGCGGGATCCACACCGAGAGGGAAGGACAGGCAAGATGGGGCTCATACAAAGGGGAGCAATGCCTCGAACTGAGCACTAGGGAAAGATGAGCCAAGGAAAATGTGACCTCGGGATGATGTGAAGCTCTCGGCCCCTTTCAGCCCAGTGAGCTGCTGAAGGCCAACTGGGGTACACACAGGCTCCCAAAGGCTGCTCTTTGGTTTGTCTGGCAGGGTCAGCTTGGAGGGCTGCGTGCTCCACCAGCAGCTGCAGACCCCAACACACAGGGCAGTGACTGGCACCTCTCCCAGTTAAGCTCTTAGCAACAATTTCGCAGCTTCTTGAAAAGGTAGAATTCCAGTCTGCTTAGCTTTCCCACCGGGTAGCCCAGAGAAGTAAAGTCACTGACCTGTCCCAAGCAGGACTCTGGTCTGCCTGTGTTCCCAGCCTGGAGCAGGACAGTTGCTGTCAGCAGGGAGCAGTGCCAGGGACACTCCTGCAGTGCCACAACCACAGCTCTGCCTTCAGGTGCCATCAGATCACCTGCTGGGCACTGGCAGGCAGATGGAGAGCCCCAGACCTGGCAAGATGGGGATTTCCCCCTGACAAAAAGTCACTCAGGCAATAGATCTTTGTCTGCATTTAATACAGAGGTGCTACACCGTAAACTCCAAATGTTCTCCGTGGGATCAATACACACAGCAGAACCACTGCAGCTTCCTCCACACAGCCCAAGTCCTGTCAGCTCTTGGGAGTGTTCTGAATGACACAAGTGTCCAGGGCCTTGACAGGCATTTCCAGTGCTCCAGGAGAGCCTTTGCCCCAGTTCTGTTGGACACAAATGCTGCTGCCCACCCTGGGAGAACACCAAGAGTCACCAGTGTAGGTGTAAATGGAGAGGTTTCACCCCAGGAGGTTTTTATCTACTGGTAAAGCACAAAAAGATAGAAATGTAAATCAGCTTTTTATCTGTTTGACTCTTACTGATGTAGGTACTAATAGGTTTTGTGATATTCACCTGCCCAGAAGCAAGCTGCAGTCTCAGTTATGCTGGTGTAAACCTGGACAGACTCCAGAGGTATGGAAATCTCTCCATTTACATCAGGGTAAGTGGAAGCAGCAGTGCCCACTGGCAGAAAACTCCCTCCCCTTTATTCCTGTGCTGCATATGTGGCTCAGCACAATGCCCATGGACCATCAGTGCACACTGGGGGAGGAAGTGGCTGCTGCATCCTGGAGAAACATCACATAATTTATCCCACATCAAAATTCTCCCACTATTTTTATCCCAGGAAGACTCAGCCAGCTCCCAGCTCTCTGTTCCCAGCCCGTTTCTGCTGGGGTGGGCTGATGGAGTCCCACGTTCAGCCGAGCTCCACATGGCAGTCACAGCCCCAGGGCCAGCGAGGCTGGGCAAGGGAACGGCAGAGGACACGAGCAGAGAAGCCTTTGGGGCTGCTGCTCCCTCTGGAGATGGTGAATCAGGGAGGGCTGGAGTTCCATTCCAACACTGGGGTGTCCTGATGTGGCAGAGCCCAGCCTAGCTGAGCATCTTGTGCCGGTCGAACACCGTCTTCCTCTGCTCCTGCACCTGCCGCTTCCAGCGCTGCTGCGCCCCCTCCATCCGCTCCAGCACCGTGTTGGCCCTGGCACCAGCCAGGGTGGGCACTGCAGCCAGGGAACGAGTGTCCTACAAGGGAAAGAACGGGGCTGGAGACCTGGCAATGCCCAGCCCAAATACAGAGGGAGGCAGCTGACTTGGAGAGAAACTGCACCTGAAAGAGCAGTTCAAGGTTTGAGTTGTTCTGATGAAAAACCTTTTGAGAGCTCCTCAACAGCAGCCCCAAGTCCTTGACATTGGGGATCACCCATGACTCCAGACAGAAGTCCCCAGGAGAGGAGCTGCACAAAGCTCTGTTGGAAATTCACTCTTGGAGTCTGCAAGGAGCCAGTGAACCACATCCCCCTGCTAAAACCAGGAGATCCATCATGGCAAACAAACAAGGCCTATCCCAGTGGACTTAGTCCAGCATACTGGAGTGAGATAAACCTCCCCTGACACCAGGCATTTACCATGGGCACACCTGGATCTGGATTACTGCTGCAGAGGAGGGTGCAAACCCATGACTTTGGGGTACAATTCATCTCCTCCTGCAGGGCCTCCTTTTGCAGCAGAGGGAGTCAATGGATGGACTGTGAACACTGGAGCAGCTGCTCCTCACTTGCATCAGTATGAAGTATGAAGGAATTAGGCCAAACAGTTTATACTCACAACAAAGTACAAACAGGACAGTCCAACACAGTGCTGTAACTGCCTGGATTTTATGCAGCAAGAAATTTGTCCTCTCCCTAAACTGGTGTATGACAAAGATACAGAATGGCTCTTTTGCTACTGGGTCCTAATCATTTTGCCCATGGTTTGTACACCAGCATCCCACAAAAAGATGGGGTTTGAATGAAATTGTGCTCTGAGGAGAAGCACAAGGAAAAACAGCCTGGATACAGCTCAGGGCCCAGCCCCAGAGCAGGATCAAACAGCATCTCATAGGCCATGTTTTAAGTGTCTAGAGGACATTTCAGCCAACACTTAAGCTCATCTTTCCCTGGAAGCTCAGCACCACAAAACTCCACCTGGGACACTGCACAAACAGGATCTGTTTGACTTTTTGCACCCTCTAAATGGACAAAGCAAATTCAGGCCAGTTGCTACAAAGCTTCCTCTGCCTCTGAGGGCAGGGCTTGCCTTGGGCTCGTTTCACAGAGCTTTGAATATTCCTCGTGTTTCTACATGACCTGCAGAGATCTGAGTCTAAATGTTCACCTGTGTAACTGCCCCAAGCAGCAATGCTGGTCCTTCACTGGATCAGAGACAAGCAGGAGGTCACTGTTCCCCTGTCCCCCATTGTCCTGTCCCCCTGCCCCCTCACCTCGCTGTCCTCCTCGTTGTGCAGGGGCTGGGTGTAGGGGTCTGGCTTGCGGATCAGGGGGTCCACGAGCACCAGGAATGCCATGTAGAGCAGCAGGGCCCCCACCACGGACAGGTAGATGATGATGATCACCTGCAGTTGAGGACAGCACAGGGAAAGGATAAGCAGTGTAGATAAGAAGCACCACAGAGGTCAGGAAGGTCCTTTGCAGCTGCCTCTGTGTGATCTCTTGTTCTCATTTTGCTCACAAGAGTCTCGTGCTCTTGCCAGGAGGCCAGGCTTGTGCCATCACTGCACAAACTATGCTGATGCTCTCACTGTGCCAACTGAGGGCATGGTCTACACATACAAGACAACAAGATAAGGCCCTGGTCAGAGGTGCTTAGCACTGTCACACATCCCCAGCAAGAGGACTGAGCTCCCACACAGCTCCTCACTACCAGGAATGCCCCTGGCTTGGACATGGAATCACAGAAATCACAGAAGTCACAGAATCCCTGAATCACTTCAGTTGGAGAATATGTCTGAGATCATGGAGTCCAAGCTGTGACCAATCCCCACCTTGTCACCCTGCCCAGAGAGCACTCAGTGCCACATCCAGCTGTTCCTTGAACACCTCCAGGGACAGCGACTCCACCTCATCCCTGGGCAGCCCCTTCCAGTATCCAACACCCTTTTTGTGAAGAAATTCTTCCTAATGTCCAACCTAAACCTCCCCTGGCACAGCTTGGGACCATGTCTTCTTGTCCTGTCACTGGCTGCCTGGGAGAAGAGGACAACCAACCACCCCCCACCCCTCTTAAAGAGAGTTGTAACCCCTGGCACTGCCACCATGTACTTGCTGTGACAGTTTTCTCTTTGTGGGCTCTTCTCCAGAAACCCAATGCAGTCACCCTGGGCTGCTGTGCCATGTCAGGGGCAGGACACAGACAGTGACTGCAGTCACCCTGGGCTGCTGTGGCACGTCAGGCAGCAGGACACAGACAGTGACTGCAGTCACCCTGGGCTGCTGTGGCACGTCAGGCAGCAGGACAGACAGTGACTGCAGTCACCCTGGGCTGCTGTGGCACGTCAGGCAGCAGGGCACAGAGGTCGTACCTTGATGGTGGTGGTGCTGCGCTCCTCGTACTTGCACTCACAGAGCAGGCAGTAGGCCTCCACATCATTCCCGGGCACTGGCATGGGCTCCACCACGTGCAGACAGTTGCTGCAGCACAAACCAACCACAGTCAGCAGCAGCACAAGGTGAAACCAGTGCTCTGTGCAAGGACACGGGGCTGACTTTATTTGTGTCCCAGCTTTCCTGTCAGGCTGATAACACTGATCTGGTATTAAGAGCTCCCCTCACAGCCTTGCTGGCCCAAAGTCCCTGGGACAGACTGTCCCAGCACCTTTTGGAGGGATCCAGTCCAGGTGGAAGAGATTGGAGGGCACACCCCACATCTGCCAAGAGTGGTGGGTTAACATATCATCCCAAATTCCTCAATTTCTATTCAAAAAATGCCCCTGGCCTGGGTTGAACATCACCCACCAAAGCAGTTCCCTCTGAAAACGTACAGGCAGGGAATGCCTTCCTCAGCACAGCTGGGAGCTCCAGAGCTTGGCTGTTAGGGACCCACCCCTGGGGCTGCTCCACACACTCACCAGTCCTTCTGGGACACGTTCTTGTTGTAGATGTGCCCGCTGATGTTGCGGTACGGGGGGCAAATGCACTTGCAGCGAATGTCCTCAGAGCTCTGCAGGGC